CACCTTGCATAGTCAGGAACAAGTGTGTGCGAATCATGGGATGATTAGATGATCGGGTAGCTGTATGCCCAGAAACCAGCGAACACCTCGCGGGGGCGCACGTAAGTGCGATCTGATCGGCGCACTTACACGTGTCCACGCGCGTTGATTCGCAACCACCAGAAAAGACTAACGATAGCAGGAATATTGATTGATGGGATGTGTTCGGTGGCCATTCTGCGCTTGCAACGAAGCGATCATCCCGTGTGAACATGTGTAAGTGCGCGCAGTCTACGCGNAATATTGATTGATGGGATGTGTTCGGTGGCCATTCTGCGCTTGCAACGAAGCGATCATCCCGTGTGAACATGTGTAAGTGCGCGCAGTCTACGCGTACTCATGCGAGGTGATCGCAATCGTCGAATAACGGGACGGGCATGAAAATTCGGAATATTGAGCTCGRAAATTCCCCARCCAGGTAGTCCCGCRCTAAGGAATTTTGCGGCTTYACAATGACAAGATGACAAACTCAAGGGGCTCAGATTCGTCGTGGGACCCGGAATACTTCACCCCTTGGATAGAAGAGTGYCTCCGACAGAGGTTCCMCTGCCTAACCGAGAATYGACTGTGTCCTAGGGAGTTCCACTGTGCCACAACCAACGATCCACGATGCTCTGATTTCCCCACTTCAGACCACACCCACTACTTTATTTCCCCCGGTTTTGTCGTTATYTCCACTAACTTCCCTCCCTTTCGTCTTCTTCTCCCGTATCATCAACTCTGAGTCGTCCCGTGGAACGCCATAGCCCCATACTGGCCCCGCACGCCCTGCGGAAATTGTCGGCGACGCGGCAACCAGAGAGCCCCGGGAACCCGAGGGCCTAACCCGAACGTACGACGATCGGCGCCACGTGGCGATATCCGGCGGCCTGACTCATCAGAACCACACCCACCCCGGATGGACCTTTCGACGAACCGCCGTTGTCAAAACAGACGGATCGAACGACCTTGAATGACCCGCGCAGGTCATCTGCCTTATGACCGGAAGCGGTCCGCCCACTCCACCAAATTGCACCCATGCCCCCGAAAAACTCTGCCACAGGAGATCTTAGTTCTGACCTGGAACTCCACCCCCCCCCCCCCTTTTCCCGAAAATTCTTGGCACACCCCTTTTCGCACTTCCAGGCCCACATCCTACTCCGATTACGATGTCGCGTTGGGCGTGAGGTTGGTATCGGAGCCCGACACGTGGCCGGGTTGTAAGGATTAACGGCGCGATAATTGAGCGATCTGGCTAACCGAGGGCGACCTCGACCCCGGAACGTGCATAGATGCGACCCCGTCATCACCCGAAGTAGATCGGCTAACCGACGGGCAGCCAAGTTGAACGCTTATTCCACAGAATCCGAATCCGCAGCAGAATGCTAATCAGCAACAAAATCCTAATCAACCCCCACCACGAGCACGGGCCCCCATGACGCCACCCGATCTCTATTTGTTTTATCCTGCTCATCATCTTGCCGGAGCATGGCTAGCTACGCTCCGAGCACAACAGTATGATGACAACGAAGCTCAAGTGAACATCCCCGCTCGATTGGGAGGGGACGCCCACCATTGGTTTAGTACCTATGTATGGGTGGATCTTCCAACTTTCGAGCGAGATTTTATGAATCAGTTTGATTATGTCCATCGAGAACAAGCACTCTTCATGATCAAGGACCGAGTTCAAAAACCTCTCGAGTCCATTGCAGAATATCGAAACCGGTTCTTGAGCGGGGCGAGCAAGTAGGGAGAGATCTGTTTATCGATGGACTTCCCAGCCGAATGATAAGGGCGAAACTGCGAAAACAGTTCTCCCCCATCAATCACACGCTGCAACAGATTATGGCGACTGCAGAGGAAATGGAACGAAAGTTCGCGGCGAGTTTCCTAAAAGGAGAAGACTATCCTAAGGAAGGAGGCTCGTCCGAACTCGCGAGGGCAAAAACTGAGTTGGCAGCCTTGCAAAATAAGTTTGAAAACATGGGGTTTGTATCAGGCCCCGTTACCTATCTGGAACAGATAGGCCCTAAACGACCAGCCCCGAGTGTGATCACAAGCGTCCCTGTCCCTGTGATGCCAGCACCTGTAATGACGGCACCCCCGCCCCCGATTGAGACCCCTGGAAGGTCGAATGAATCGACCGTCATTTTTGAACTGACCAAAACGCTAATTAGCCTAATCCAAGAAAGCAAAAAGGAACAACGAGAGCATAATGCTCGGTTGGAGGCTATGATGAGAAATATGCGGCCCATCGCAGTTCGAGCCGCCCCGATCCAACAAGGATTGGCCTCGGCACCTATTCTCGGAGGGGCTGCGAGCAATTTGAACGTCTGTTACGCGTGCCATCAACCTGGGCATCTGGCTCGGGATTGTCCCCATCGACCCCCGCAGCCGAGGGTTGGGGTCGCTCCAATGGCAACAGCTCCCATCGCTAACGGACCCGGACGGGTAGGAGCCCTGATGTAAGAAATGGAGGGCGGAGGTAGCGCATTAGCTACTACGGAAGAGGCTGCTGAGCTCATTCCGTTGGATCAATATGTATCGCTTGGATATCCAAGGCTAAGAATGATTGGAACGATCAGACCTGCGCCGGAACAGAAAGAAGTGGCGGAGTGGCGACCTTCTCAAGGAGAGATGGAGTCGGGAGGACCCACCTTCGTCACTGGAGAAATCGATGTGTTGAACATCATCCGAGCCTTAGACCATCGGATTCCACTTCTGATCGGTCATTTGCTCTCGATCTCTGAACAAGCCAACGAGCAAATGCTACAGCACTGCAAGGCGAACCGAAAGCGATTCGCCTTCGCCCGAACAACGAACGCGAAAGCTAAAAAACCCACGCCAGACGAAAATGGAGTTGGCACTTCGGATCCGATACGGGTAGGATTAATCCAGAAAGACGATCATTTCCTATGGATTAAACCCATCCAATGGAAATCTGCGGAATGTGACATTGAGATATGGGGAATTCCGTACAATGCAATCATCGATTCGGGAGCTACTGTTTTAGCCATTTCGCTACGGGTAGTTGAGAGGGCGGGTAGGAGAAACGATCTAATCATGCTTACGGAAAAGGATCAGCTCGTTTCGGCAGACGAAGAAAAAATCAAAATAGTGGGACGAATGACCAACGTCGCTTTTCGATTAGGAAAGGTGCATGCGTTGGGAGATGTCGTGGTATTAGACGTAAACACCTGCGATGTCCTTTTTGGCCTTCCCGCTCTTGTGGCGTTACGAGCAAACGTGGACTTCGAGCGACGGTCGATTATCCTCCGAAATACGGGAGGAAAACCCTATGTTGTACCTATGAGGCTGACGCTTCGTACTACCACCAACGCAGTCCCGCGAGTTTCTCCGATGATAACATGAACTTTTCGCATGATCACCTGGGAAAACTCCGCAGACGATGAGCCATCATTGAAGGATGTGGATAGCAGCGACGAAAATGATCCGGTAATTCTGGAACTAGCACGACAGCGCATTTATTACCCGCTGCCCAGAACGATGCATCTCACTAGTCGGAGAGTACAAAGGACCCAGGCAATGATTTTGGGTGAACCCCTCGTACAGATCTCGAGGATGGTCGATTCTCTGGAACCCCCTCAGACCCTGTACGAAGGAATGGCCCCTCTTCTCGCACGATACAACGACAAGAGATCTTTTTGCGACATCACGGGCCTCCCACGATCTTTGCTGCCACCCGCCAAAGAAGTACGATTGTTACGCCTGGGGGTGGAGGCCAGTTTTTTGGAACCCCCCGGGCATTTCAAGGCAGAATCAGACGGACACGGAATTAAGATCGCAACTAAACCCGTACCGTGGCAAGATATATGTGATGGAATCACCCCGGAAGGACACGTGGCCATCCGGGAGGAAGACGCCCAGATGATGGCCACGGTGTTCTCCTGGCGATCGGACCATTCGTTTATCTCTGCGCCACCACCCGAGGCGGCGAAACAAGCACACATGAAGCAGATCGACGTATGGATCTGGGATCAACCTTATGAATTGCACGTTTCGCAGTACGTACCTGATGAGATTCATCGTTTGATTGCGGACATTCTGACGGAATATCAGGGAGCGATTAATGTAACGGACACTGATATCGGCTTGTCGTTGGTCATACAACACGAGATCCGGACAGGAAACCATTCCCCGGTCCATTGCAAACCGTACAGATACTCCCTAACTGAACGAAGGACAGTCCTGCAACAAATTAAGGAATTTGAAGCTAATGGATGGATTGAACCGGCTACGGGACCGTGGTCGTTTCCTGTGGTATTGGTGCCGAAGAAGAACCGATCGATTCGCATATGCATCGATTATCGCAAACTGAATGACATCACGCCTCGTGACGGATCATGAGCCCCTGCTGGCCTTGAAGAAGCTCACTAATTACACCGGCATGATTGGTCGATGGGCGGTACGTCTGCAGGAGTACAACTTCGACATCATCCATCGGAAGACAGAAAAACACGGCAACGCGGACGGACTGACACGTCTGCATCGACCCGCTAAGGTACCTAAGGGCGAGGAAATCACTCAGTGGAAGGAGTCAAAACCAACGAACGGGCCTAAGTACGGACAAGTGGCAGTTCTCCGACGTGGCAAGAAGCAGACCGGTGGCAATGGGTGACGGAGGTAATCCCGTAACCACTCGTTCTCCCCTCTCCTCCTCATCTCTTCTCTCCCTGCCTGATAAATATTGTTATTTTTGTGAAGCGATTTCTCGCGTGTATTCGGTCTCCATGCGTCCTAACGGGGAAGGCTACGTCGATTGGGTAGATTGTCGGCAGTGTGTCGCACGAGCCCATGGCTCTTGCATCCAGTACCGAAGCAGCGGTAGACTCTGGTTGTGCCCTTTGTGCCGAACTGATAAGATCCCAACCGAGTCACAGTTCCTCGACGCCACGTCAGAAGGGTTGGAAAATACCCGGAAGTTTAGAAGGGCAGAAGTTTGGACGGATATCGCTCTAATAGCCACCCTGGTTGGTAACCCCCTTCAGGACTTCACTAAGGAGGACCGGAGGAGGGCCAACGAAGGAGCTCGGGATTATTGATGGGTCGAGGGTAGGTTAGAAAAGCGAAAAACGGACAGCAGTGGGGTTTGGATGGTTGTACCGCATCCGTTCATGAGGTACGACTGGGTAAAGACGGCGAATGAGGAAACTGCAGCCCACTTCGCCGTGCGAATTATAGAGGTGGTCATCGATAAGAACGAGTGGTATTCGTCTAATATCCGCGAAGATGTTAAGTTCATCGTCCAGAACTGTCAAGTCTGCGCTGCTGACAAGGCACCGATCCAGCCGCCCAGATCGATAGTACCAACGGTAGTTGAGCGGCCGTTTCAAAGGGTAAGCATGGATACTACCGATATCGTGGTACCTCCTGGTCCTAATAGTTGTGAGTATTCAATCCTGTTGGTATTTGTCGACCATTTTTCAAAATGGATCGAGGTCTACCCGTGTCGCACGCGGCAAGTCGCCGAAATCGCGCAGTACGTTAACCGTTTTCTCGGGATGCACCAAGACACAGAAGAGATCCTGACGGGGCGGAATTCAGAGGGGAAGTGTTGAGGAATCTGGTCATACACAGTGTCGTTGTGCGGAATACCGCGCCCCACATGTCACAATCCAACGGGCTGGTAGAAAACGCAAATCGGGTGATAAAGACAGCGCTACGACGTAACATCGCGGCACGGGATCCGAGGCCCTAGCCCGATATCGTCGACCACATCCTGGTGGTCCACCGCGGAACGCTCACGGATCGACAGGCCTGAGCCCCTTCCAATTAAGGACCAATAGCGTCGCTTGCATTTCGATACCGAACCTCCCCGATGAATCAACGTTGAACCTACGGCCCACAAGGGCCACGGTTCGGGACAAGGCCAAGCGGCACTTAGAGCTAATGGAATAGTCTCTCCCCAGGCTAGCCCGAAAGCGCCAGAAAATTACCAACTTGGCCCACAGCTGACAGGTCCGACGCTACGAGGCCCGGAACGGGAACGCAGGTCCACGGCCCCAGTACAAATTGGGGGACATCGTGCAGGTGAGGAAATGTGCTCGTCAGGGTAAGTTAGCGCCACGATTCTTTGGGCGATTCCGCGTGATTGAGCTCGGACCGAACGGCGTGAACGCCGTGCTGCTTGCGCCTGAGGTCTCCGGCAGCCGATCGGCTCGACCGATCACCCGCCACGTGTCCTATCTACGTCCCCTTCCTTCTTCCCCATCTCCGCCATCATCCGTCTCCTCCTCCGCTGCGGAAGAGGACGACGACAACTTATCGCCTGTCTACCCTTCTCCATCTCGTTCTCTCTCAGGTACTCCGTCCCCACCACCATCGCCATGAGCTTTCTCACGGAACGAGCCCTCGGCGACCATCTCTTAACGCCACGGGGTTACATCGCAGCGATTCGGCAGGTTCGTCATCCACGGTTCAATCTGGATCTTCTACGACTGGCACAGTTCTTCTGCACTTCGGGAGTGTACGCAGCGGCCGAGTTCCGATTTGCAGGCAGTCCTCAGGCGGTCGTGTTAGCAGAGGCAGTGGCCGTACATCGGCGGTCAGCTCCCGGGATTAGCCATGTGTCCACGGTCGTCGGCTTCAGCGGCAATATCAGTACGGTCAGTGCGCTACGACATACGACCATCCGAACGTCATTGAGGGAATGGGCGCAACAACTGTCGACGGAGTGGAACCACTGGCTTACGCGCCACAGAGATAATCTTTTCCCCACGGACGACATCGAACTCGGTGGTATTCGGGCGTTCCAGCACGAGCCAGCGGTGGTGCTGCCGGAACTCATCCCCTTCCAGCGTCCCCGATGAACCACTCCCAACTCTTCACCTTCGCCCTCCCATCTCTCTTTCCCACCTTCTGGCAGTCTGGAGTCCACCCTCGCTTCTCTTTCTCTTTGGAGCCGCTAGCTGTCCCCCTTCTCGATCTCGCGCAGTGGAGGCGCTGGCGTAAACACTTCATCGATCTGTCGGTGTGCCTAATCGGAGTACGAATCACATGGACCAAGGACGAGGAACATCACGAGTGGTTTGAGTACTTGGAGTTGATGATCGTTCAAGCCTGGAGGACCGACGTGGAAGGCGATCTTCTCGGATTCCTGTTCGGATCGGTGCGCCCCAGTCATCGTCAGCCGATCACCTTAGAGCTGACGGTCCCCCTTGCGCAGTTAGCAGACGATCTCCCACTTGAGATCGTCTCACAGAGTGACGAGAGCCCGGTTCCACATGTCCTCACGCGAACGCTAACGCCGTATCTTCAGTGGTCGGCATGCCTGGAGGAGCCAGGAACTGGCCGCAACCCGTCGTCGCAGCGGGATTATCTGGACCCACGCGAGATCATCGATCTCGCCTTTTTCCAAAATCGGGCGACCTCCGAGGACGAAGAAATAGAGATCGAGGAAGAGAGCGTTGAAGAAGAAGAAGCGGCCGAAGAGGACGAGGAGGAAGAAACCTCGGAGGAAGGCAGTTATAGCGAGCACAGCGAGGGAGAGCAGAGTGAAGATGAGGAAGAAGAAAAGGAGCTAGAACTGGAGGAGTGGGAGATCTCGGCGGAGGAACTCGAGCGAACAGAAGCAGAGCAGGCGGAAGACCCCGAAGCAGCGCGCAAAAGAGACGAAATCGCGGCCGAAAAACGACAACTGGAGTTCGCCAGCACGGCAAATTTGCCGTTGCCGATCACCGACGATCCGGCCCGCGATCCCGAGCCGCCCAAGCCCGAAGATGGGGACCCAACTGCCGAGACTTCTAGCGCACCGGCAAGGCGGCGACGAAGCCGATCCCCATCCCCCTCCGCCTCCGACCGTCCATCAGTTCGAGCCCGTACTGATGCGGGGCATCGGGCTTCGTTCCCGGTCGTTATCCCGCCGTCCCCTTGACTACCTCACCCTCCGACAAATCACCACCCGTGTCGCTTTCCCCCGTAATCCCTTCCCCATCGATACTTTTTTATTCTTCTACGCCACTCGCCTTGTCGTTACCATTCACCCCCATCCCTCGACCCGATGCGCCCTCCCCGACTTCGACCTCCATACCCTTCTCCTTAGCGTCGCGTGGCGAGGCCACATATGATCGAGGTTTATTGCATGATTACGGGGACTATCCCCGCATGCGAAAACCACGACCATTTTTTTGCGGCACTCTTCCGCACCTTTACCACCCTGTATCCCGACTACCTCGCCTCCCTCCCGCACACCGGTAATCGCTTCCCCCGTTTCCACCGGATCATTCGTTACCAGGAGCTCCCGGAAACAGTAGCCCATGTGGAACGATTTTTACCCCCGCTTCCGATTAACCCTCCCCTTCACCATGCCCCCATGTATCGTCTCCCCTTCCCCCTTCCTGGTGGACACTGACGATCGGCGATCGGTGGATTGGTGTGCGTGCCACAATGATGGCATGAATAATCCCCTCCTTAGAATGACGAGAGCCCTCCTGATGAATTGTAGGACAGAGCTTGTAGGCCATGTTGGATGATGACCACACTCTTTCACACGGTAAGTGGCCATGCAGAAAGCTCCACGCGTCGATCGATTAGAGAGATCGACACGTGTCAAGATTTAAGCAAGCAGGAGCTTGCTTAAGATTGAAACAACAGCCATTTCGTCAAAACGGACATATTATATCTTTTGAACGAAATTAAAACTGACTTTTTTTGCAATAATCTGGTCGGAATTTTTTGCTCCTGGGGATCCGGCGTTCCCAGAACGCCGGACCCCCTACATGTATCTGGTCTCAAGGGAACGCCGGACCCCCAAGAGCAAAAACTTCCGACCGGATTTTGGCAAAAAAAATCGGCTTTGATTTCGTTCAAAAAATATAATATGTCTGTTTTGACGAAATGGCTGTTGAACCCCCTGGGCGTCACATATGCGACGAACCGATTTCCGCACTGCGCGATTTTCTGCGCGGTAGCGACGAGGGGTCCTAAGCTGGGAAGGATGGGCCAATTACGGGAGATTGGGATGAACGGGAAATTGCATCGGTGTCCTCGCTTCTTTGTCTTTTTTTGTCGTCTTTTCGGATGGTTGGGTTCAAGCTCGGGAGGGCCGCGGGACAATCAATTGGTTGATTGGCTGTGTGAATGGCGCGCCGCCGTGCGCGCGATTAATAAATGTTGATGTCGCTTCTTCTGTTTCGGTTTCAGACTTTTTAGGCGTGGACATCGCGCTAGAATTTTGCTTCGTTCTTTTTTTAATTTCTTTTCGAATTCTTTTTCGAATCTTGTCGAGCCACTATGGCTCTCGGAATTTCGAACTTTCTTTTCGGGATTTGTGTTTTTCGCTTTTTCTGCCTTAGACAGGAATTTAGGAATTTTGCAATTAGGATTTTCATTTGTCGTGCTGCGCTTTTTCTTTACGCTCTTCCCTGTGCAACTGCAACGGAACTCTGATTAGTCGGCGCCTTTAATCGTGTGTGTAACCGTAATTTTGGGTGGGCGCCATTGTAGCTGTATCTTTCTTCTTGAGCTTTGTCTTTCCCGACCATGAAGAATGCAGGCGCTCCCTCTCCTAATCCCCTTTCTAAGTCCTTGCAATTCCGCGTTCTTCGCGCATGCATGCATGCTATAAATCCCGGTTGCGCGATTAGTTAGCTCTCTTAACCAGCTGTTGGAAGCTCAGGGTAGCGCGATTAGTGAGGGTTGGCTCACGAGCGACGTAAGAGGTAAGCTGAAGTGGAAGTCGAGCGACCCGACGAGTTGATGCCGAACGCGAGGGGTTGACGCGAGCCACGACGGACTGTGGGCGCGGGCGAACCTGACGGGTGCAGGAGGACTAAGCGGGGTGACGACTTCGTGGGTCAATGCGCGACGACGGATTGTCCGCATCGGAGAGAGAGAGAGGAAGCGGGAGCTGAGGTTGATGGATGTGGATTTGCGGATTTCCTTGTCTTTTCTCCCTCTTTGCCTTGTACATACATTTTGATATTGGCTCAGGGCGATTTGTCCGTTTTTGTTTTTGGAATCTTGGCCTGATTTTCTCACCCACACTCGTTTTTGCGATTTTAATCCCGGATATTGTGTATGCTATGCCGAATGAAAGAATGAATGGATGTTATGTCTGTTGTTTTTCCTTATGCCTGAACTTTGCGGTTGCTTGTCGTTTTTGATACACTTATGAGCATAGTAGGAAAGATCGCGTAACCCGCATCGTTGTTGTTTGTCCTTTTTGATCTACTGCTTTACTGTGAATGCGTAGTGGCACCTTGCATAGTCAGGAACAAGTGTGTGCGAATCATGGGACGATTAGATGATCGGGTAGCTGTATGCCCAGAAACCAGCGAACGCCTCGCGGGGGCGCACGTAAGTGCGATCTGATCGGCGCACTTACACGTGTCCACGCGCGTTGATTCGCAACCACCGGAAAAGACTAACGATAGCAGAAATATTGATTGATGGGATGTGTTCGGTGGCCATTCTGCGCTTGCAACGAAGCGATCATCCCGTGTGAACATGTGTAAGTGCGCGCAGTCTACGCG